CAGTATTCTGGCCTGGAGAATCCCCATGGACAGGCAGTCTGGTGGGCTGCAGTCCACAAGGTCACAGAGTCAGACACAACTGAGTAACTAAGCACATACATGCATACATACATACATGTGTGTGTATGATCACATCGCTTTAACTAAGCACATACATACATACATACGTGTGTATGATTGCAGCGCTTTAACTAAGCACATACATGCATACATACATACATACGTGTGTATGATCGCATCGCTTTAACTAAGCACATACACACATACATACATGCGTGTGTATGATTGAATCGCTTTAGCTAAGCACATACATACATACATATGTGTGTATGATTGCATCGCTTTAACTAAGCACATACACGCACACATATGTGTGTATAATCGAATCACTTTAACTAAGCACATGCATACATACATGTGTATAATCGAATTGCTTTAACTAAGCACATACATGCATGCATACATACATGTGTATGATCGCATCGCTTTAATCACATGCATGCATGCACACATACGTGTGTATGATCACATCACTTTAACTAAGCACACACATACATACATACATACGTGTGTATGATCACATTGCTTTGCTGTATGCCTGAAACTAACACGACACTGTGAGTCAACAATACTCCAATGTTTAAAAATAAAGAGACTTCCCTGGTGGTCCAGCAGTTGAGATTCCGCACTTCCACTAGAGAGGGTGAGAGTTCGATCCCTGGTTGGGGAATTAAGATCCTGCATGATGGGGCCAAAAAGGTTAAATAAATAGACCTGCTGTGGACACAGGGCACTCTACCCCACACTCTGTGATGACCTATAAGGGAGGAGAGCTGGGGGAAGGAGCGGGTATACACGTGTGTGTGGCTGGTTCCCTTTGCTGTACAATGGAGGGTAACACAGCCTTGCCGATCAACTACATGCCAATAAAAATTTAAAAAAATAATAAATAGTCAAGGAAGGAACCTGGAGGGTAGAAGACTAGGGGATTTCCAAACTCCTACCATTTCCTTTAGCGATTCTCTATGGGTTTGGGGCAGTACCAATACCCACTTCTTATTACTTATAACTCAGCTCGTTTTACACATGGGGAGTCTAAGAGCTGAGACCCGCTCCCACACATCCTGACTATACAATTACCATTTCATGGGCTCCTCTGTGACAGTTCCCACGTGTGCCATTTAGCATGACTTAGTCTAAGACAGCTATTTTCCTTGAACTCTTGATTGGCCTGTCAGTTTCCTCAAGGGAATTCTACCTAGCTAGATTTTAATCTCTTTGAGTTGTGACCTCGACTATAAAAGTCTTAGGTGAGATTTTAATGGCCAAGATTTAACTAAATTTAATAGATACACCAGTGGGTATTCCAATTATATACACCATTAAGGGCTTGATGTGAGGCTTTAAGAAATTACTGTTGGAAAAAAAAAAACAACATAGTCCATGTGCAATGCAATTTACCAGTGGGGAAGATTTCAATGTCTTGGGAAAGTTTCATATAAAAAGGAAGCTAGAAAAATGAACAGTCAGATTCAACACACTTCAAAGGAAGCTTGAGATTTGGGGGACTGTCTGCTCTTAAACAGGTAAAATGCTTTGTATTTCTAGCACTTTTGTTTAGACTGCATGCTATTGTCTGTCTATAGGGCATTTTATACCCTAAGGGCTTAAGGCCAGGTGTAGTGTCTAAAGAAGACTTGACCTTCGTGGTCCTTGTCACCTCCAGCCACAGAGCTCCAGCCCGTGGGGAGCTGCAAGAGCTCATCAACCAATATTTGATTCTGTCTTTAGCTTCTTCCCCACCAATGGAAATTTAATCTGTGAGAATTCCACATGTCATCAGATGGCTCAAGGCTGCTGGGGCCAGGGAGGCAGCTGGTCTGGGACTCAGAGCTTTGAAAAGTGTGAGGTCCTCTCTCATGCTCACAGATGGTCCAGTCGGCGGTCATGTGGAAGACCAAAAGACACACACTCAGCAAAATGCAATTAGTGCCGTAGGGTAACCACTTCATGTCAAGCAACTTTTATCAGCCAGAGACTTCTAGTCAGAGCCACTTTTCAGAGCAGATGGCCCAATTTTCTTTATCTCAGGAAAGAATCTCAATCACAGGAGGAGAAAGTACTAAGGCAAAAAGTGAATTTGATAAAGGAATCCTGAGGTTTGGATAACCAAATAAAAAATAAAAATCAGAAGAGTTTAGTTCTGAAAAATACTCAACATGTTAGTTTAAGGGACTGGCTTTGTGTCCAAGCCAAGAAAGTACCTGTATGTGAAAACTAGATCACTCCCGCTTTTGTCTTCTGCCGGGTGAGTGACCCCAGTGTTAGGCTTTTCGCCAAAGAGGTCTTTGTTTAGCCCAGTCTGGGTCTACTTTTATCACTGTGCGGATACTCCTCAGGATGGAGCCGACTCCCAAGCTTCTAGCTGGACTCATCCTGCTGACTCTCTGTGTGGTGGGTTGCTCTGGTCAACACTGGTCCTATGGGCTGCGCCCTGGAGGAAAGAGAAATGCAGAGAACGTGATTGATTCTTTCCAAGAGGTAAGTCCCTCTCAACTTCAAAATAAGACGTGCCTTATGTGGTCCAATTGAAGGATTCTAAAATCCTCTATGTGCCCAAGTGTGCTATGAATTCTTGCCCCTGACCCAGGTATTCCTGGGGAGATAAGGCACTTTCAAGTCAAGTCCCATTCCTGCTTTAATTCAGACAGAGACCAATGGAACAAAACACAGGAATGATTCCAGAGGGGCAGGTGCAAAGGAGCAAGCTATACTCTAAGGATACAGAATTGCTGAAAGACCTAGAAACAATAAGGCTTCCCAGGTGGCTTAGTGGTAAAGAATCATCTGCCTGCAATGCAGGAGATCTGGGTTCCATCTCTGGGTCAGGAAAATCCCCTGGAGGAGGAAATGGCAACCCACTCCAGTGTTCTTGCCTGGAGAATCCTATGGACAGAGGAGCCTGGCGGGCTACAGTCCATGGTGTCTCAAAGAGGTGGACATGACTGAAGTGACTTAGCACAGCACAGTATGAAATAAAGAAGCCCAGGATCCTCTCCACAGACTATTTGCAAAGTGATTCTCTATTAACTATGACATATTTAGTACAGACTAGAAAATTATATCAATCCTAGTCATAACAATAAGCTCTTGTATATTTTTGTATACCGTCTCCTTGTGAGGTTCAAAGTACTTCATTCTCATCACCTCTAGGGAGAAAAACATTCTCTCTCCTTTCTATGGCCTCCAGAGCTGCACCCCAATCTATAAAAGTGTCTGGCAGCATCCCATAAAAAATTTTTTTAAAAATCCTACATGTTGCATGGTGCAGCCAGAAAAAAGAAAAAAAACATTTTTTAAAAAGAGAATTGAAAAAAATAAAGTCCCCATTCCAACTCGCAACTTTCTCAGTCCCAACATCCTCTGACTTCACCTTCCACACACAATTTTTGGTGGAAGTGAAAAATCCCATTTCATTTCTTTACCTCCATCTTCAATAACCTTTTTTCGCAGATAGCCAAAGAGGTCGATCAGCCAATGGAACCTAAGCGCTGTGGGTGCATTGTTCACCAGTCCCATTCTCCTCTGAGGGACCTGAAAGAAGCTCTGGTGAGTTACCATGTTGACAACATGGAGCATTAGAGATGGATGGGTCCTGGGTACCACCTCCTGGGTCATCCTCTTAGGGCAACTCCCTCTCAGCTACTGCAGGGCTTACCTTCCTGATGGCCTGAATTCCTCCGATACTGGGTCCTTGTCATTTCTTAACACCCCTTTTCAGTGGTTACACAGTACTAATGGCTGGAACCTTTTTTCCTTTCTTAAATTGAAATCTCTTTGCAAACTGTGTCCACTAATCTCAGCTCTGGCCTTAGGAATAACTGACAAATTTCTTTCCACAGCTACATGTGCTTCAGGTATATTCATCAAACTCTCTAGATCATTCTTCTCTAGGCTAATCCACACTTTTCCACTGAATTCTTCAAGAGTTCTTGGTATAACATGGTTTTCCCTGGGAAATGTAGAAATAAAAAATGGTGCGCTACAGAATTTTCTTTTTCTTTGGAATAAAAAATCCCCAACTGATCAATTTACAATTCAGAGCCACAGATTTGATTTCTGGTTTTCTGAATGCACAAACCAGTTTCCAAATTCCCACCCTAAATGGGAATCTACTAACTCAAGGTAGGTTTTTTATTTTTTAAAATGTATAATGAGACTTGAATATAGAAATTGAATCCTGAATTCAATATTGATATTCTCTGAGCAATGTGGTCCACTTATTTGCAGCAGTTAGAAGGTATTACAGGCTTTCCTGGTGGCTCAGATGGTGAAGAATCTGTCTGCAGTGTGGGAGAACTGGGTTCAATCCCTGGGTTGGGAAGATCCCCTGGAGGAGGGCATGGCAACCCACTCCAGTATTCTTGCCTGGAGAATTCTATGGAGAAAGCATTACAGTTCATTTTCAGTTATGCCCAGGCACAGAGAAAGACTGAATACATCCCTCCTGCAGATGAGTGACAGGAAGAAGGAAAAGGGGACAGGGACTTCTCTGGTGGTCCAGTGGCGAGGGCTCCATGACCCAATGCAGGGGGCCCGGGTCCAACCCTGGTCAGAGAGCTGGATCCCACATGCCGCAACTAAGGCCAGGTGCAGCCAAATAAATTTTTTAAATAAATCACTAAAATGTAAAAACCATTTTTTAAAAAGTGGACAAATATCTTTATTTCCTTTTTTTCCAATCCTACTTACCTCATGATAAAATAAAAGCAAGCTGTGACATTTTCTGAATACGACACTAGAAAGACAGAATTGAGGCAAAGACTGGATTAATAATAGATGAACAAGTCAAAACACAAATTTCTCTTTCACCTCTGTCCTCACACCCCATACTTAGAAAACAAGGTATTAATAGATCTTATGTTTATTTGATTTATAAAGCATGATTCAGCTCTCTAGCACTTTTTAATGTGAAGAAAAAGATGGATTATTTAAATATCAATATTTTAAAAAATTTAAATGTCCAAAACAATGACACTCAGCTCAGAAAATCAACTTTGATATATTTATTACTGACTTATTTTGCAGGAAAGTCTGATTGAAGAGGAAACTGGGCAGACGAAGATATAAATCCACAGGACCAGAAAAACTGATAACACTGAAGTAGAATTCTGATTTTGAAATCTGTGACCCATTTAACATCTGTAAATTGTGTGAATTTCAGAAATTCTTACACCAGGTTGCATGGATTTCATGATGGAAGTGCTTGTATTGGGAATAAAATGGCATAAATGTTAAGTCTTTCTCTAACTCAGAACTCTGGTGTGGGAGGGACATGGTAAGCCTCCATGCACACTAGTGTGTTAAGTCGTTGAATTCCTGTTCAGCTCTTTGTGACCTTATGGACTGTAGCCCACCACGCTCTTCTGTCCAAAGGATTATCCAGGCAAGAATACTGGAGTGGGTTGCCAGGCCCTCCTCCAGGGGATCTTTCTGACTCGGATCGAATAAGCATCTCTTATGTCTCCTGCACTGGCAGGCAGGTTTTTTACCACTAGTGCCACGGTGGAGGGGGTGCTCCTAACACTGAAAATGTGTTAGGGTGCTCCTAAAAGCGTGGGGAGGTGGGGATGCAGAGAAGAGGAGATCACACAAAGGCAACGTTATTGTTGCCGCAAGGAATCCCATGGCTCCCCTCCTCCTCCGCTCCCACTCCCACCCTGCACTCACAGGACAATCGCTCTAAGCCCAATACCAATTCAGTCCAGTTTTCTATGAGGTGAAAGCTTTCTCCCTGACCTACAGAAGTAAGATGGGGCCAAGGCCAAAGTTACCCCGCTCCCCCCCCCCCCC